TATTTTTATAAAACATTTGGCTCATAGTCGAACTCGAGTTTACAAGATATTGACTTGAGCTGCACTCAAGCTAAAGTCTTGAGCTAAACTCGAGATTTTGACTCAAGCTTGAATAGGTAGTTCGGCTTGGCTATAATCTACCCCTAGCACCAAGCCATTCTTGTCTGTTTGGGTGATTGCTGAGTTGGCCTAAGGGTGCCATGTGGCAGACTCCGTGGCCGCTCTGTTCGGGCAGCATTAGTATCAACCGCGTAATGGGAGGGCCCGAGCAGGAAGGAGTGTTCCACACAGACAATGAAGTAGACTTCATCGAGGGAGCCCCCTTGAAGACCTCGATGAACAACCTCATCCCGACAATCCTGGACGCCCAGTCCAACCAGAACATACACCTTTAGCTATGAATAGGTATGGCATGCTCATGGTAAGGGACTTTTGGATTCAGAGCTCAATCAAGCACCCTTCTTGCATTCACCAAGCTCTCAACTAACCCACATACCTCGGTTTGCCTTGACCAATCTCTTTACCACTCACTAACTTGAGCATAGGAGTGCCTATCCGGGGAATAACTCATCGGGCCTTTGGTTCTTCGTGTGATTCTAGACTTTGGTATGCGGTTTCGTCCTTCCACCTCGGCCTCGTCCAGTTGGAAGGACTATTTGACTACAACCTCGATTTGGAACATTTTGGGTCAGACAATATCACTGCCCAACCCAATGTAAAGCCTAAGATGATTACTTAGGAGAGGGGAAGTTTGGGTTTCATCTGTTTTTTTCGATATCCTGTTTTTGTTTTTGATAAAAAGGCATTTCATTACAATTAGGGTGCAAGTCGGGCGGATTGGACCGGGTTTATGGTAAACTTGGGCCCGACTCTAAAATTTGGTTTTAAGGCCCAAACCTAGGCCAATCCCAAAGTCAAGCCCGATTTCCCAACCCGACCGTAGTCCACACGGTAAATTGATGCACTCAAATTATACCCCTAATTGCAATAGCAGAAAAGGAAAAAAACAAAGAATAAGAGACACCAACACAAACACTGCGGACACTTAAAATTACCAAACTGCAGACACACTGTACTATAAACAAAACAACATCAACCCAGCACCAGATCGAGGGCGCACTACAATAGATAAAAAGTAGGAAACCCCCTCGATGCCCGGTTCAGATTCATGTATAGATTGGCAAAAAAACTACATCAACAGTTTTCTTTTTTCTTTTGCAATTGCATGGATCCTGCTGCATATTCAAGCTGACCGATGTAAAAAACACCAATTCGATTTGGAAGAATGGGAAAGTGTACACTATCTCATATTGGGTTGTGTTCATTAGCCGTTTCACTAGGCAGAGTAATGAGTGGCGACGACAGGCGAAAAAGGTTAAAAGTGGTTATTTTATATTGAACAACCCACACACACTATGTGGTCTCTAGTCTTTCTGGGTGTCATGCGCTTGAAGGTTGAATCATTTAGGATATCCCCTTTTATTCTAATATGCTATAGTATGCTATAGAGCGAGAAGCCAGCCACATTCTCAGCACTAATAAAGGCCCCAAACTTTTCATACATAGAAAATGGACATCTGGAAAAAGCGTTGCTGGCAACCACTTGTGAGATCTCTCATAATGATTCAGAATTGTATATTAAAATCTAAAACCTTCCATCTCCTGCTCCTCCTGATGCTGGTGGATTCTCTCTTCATTCAAGAATCTCAAGGCTTCGATGCTTCTTTCCCTCCCCCAAATCCCAACTCTGCACTCAACCTCCATTTTGTTTGTTAGTGACTTAGTGTTGATTCCTTGTCACAAGCCTGCTTGCTAAGTTTAAACAAATGATATGGACGTTTCCACTTGACCCCCACCTCTTGGCCTACTTTTACGGCAAACCAGATGGACGTCACTTATCCCAATCTCTTCTTTCGCTCTAGCTATATAAAAAATAAATAATAATGTTTTTGTTGCAGCTGGAGGGTTTGTAAGCATTTGGGATTTAGAATTGTAGTGGGAATATGTGTTCGTTGGGGTGGGTTCTGTCTTGATTAACAATTCAGAACTACATCGATAAGGTTGAATATTCAAACCCGTGACAACCAGCAAGGTGATGAAAAAATATATAATAAATAATAAATTAGAGGGTGCTTATATATATATATCCTTAATAATTACCTTGTCTAAATGGATAAGAAAAGAAGAGAAAGGGGTGGAAGCTAATTACCTTGTGACTCTCCATGTGATTTCAGCTTTTCTTATGTAGTTAGGTAGAGGCTTGTTAAAATTTAAATATATTGTAGTCAATCCCAAAAGATGTCCTTGTGATATTTCAATTTGGTGTTAAATTATGTAAGTTAGGCCATATATCCTTTTCATCAAAGAGAAGCTAATTACAAAGACATCACATCTTAAGCATTTTATCAGATTGTTGGTGTGTGTTGCATGGTATAAGCTTCAAGACATCCCTTGTCCCCACCATTCTTTTACCTCTAATCACCAACCATCACCAGGCCCCCCCCCCGGCCTTCTCAGCAATCCGTCCCTGCCCCAGAATAATTAGGGGAAAAAAAAAATAAAAGATTTGGTGATGTGATTTCAAAGCTCGATTGTGAAGATTACATTATAAACCTAAAACTCTCTTTTTGTCAATTAAAATGTTGTTTGGTGTGTTTTTTTGTACGGTCTTTCAGTTATTTATAAGTTGAAAAGATTGGAAATCGATTTATTCTTATTTAGTATATGCGAATCCCATTTTAGACTAATTTGGGGAACCTTCAAATGAAACTTTTCACGTTTTAATCTCATATGAAAAGACCCAAAACGATACATAAAAAAACACGTATCTATCAAAGGGTCTGGGTCTTATGTCAAAAGCTAAATACATATATTGACCGTTAGAACTATGAGAATATCTTTTCAAAAAAATTTGCCAAACGTCTGTTGGGACAACGCGTGGATGATGATAAATTGATAATAGATTTCTTTCATCACTAAACAACGGTGGAGTACAGTAAGACATTTTTTTTAACTTTTTATTATACTGACTGCCACTGTGCCTTTAAATTTCTGAACACACACAGACAGATAGAGGGAAAGCATGGAGATACATGCGGGACATAATTACAAAGCATTGCTCCACAATGAAAGCTACGTCAGGTGAGTGGTGATTGTGACTTCCAATGTTTGTGTTGAGTCAATGGTTGCTTGCTCCCATGAAAAAAATGGATTGTCGAGCAATTGGCTGCTAATTGTCCTTCCTTCCCACCATTCGTGTCCCAATCAAATACCAAAATTATTTTTGTTTCACTTTTAGAAAATTTATAATTTATTTCCATAAATTATTATTGATTTTTTGGAACCCCATTTAGGAGGCTCTATGTATTTATTTTATGCTATTATAAAACATATATCATGTGCACTCTGAATAACAACTTCCCTTTAATAATACAAATTATCTTTAATGAATTTATGTTTGAATTTGCCATAGGTTCAAGTTTCATATAAATAATTTTCAAGTCATTGTATTCATAACAACACAATTCCAAACCCATTTTTAATTTATTTCATTAATTACTTATACTATTTTCATTTTTACTTCAATTTATTTATCTTACTTAATATTCATTTGCCATCTTATTCTTATCGATTTGGATCCGTTATAAATATCCACCGGATTCGAAACGATCCGTATGCGGTCGTATCGGGACTAATGCGTGCCGGGCCTCCCCGCCTTGACCTGTGAGTCTGTGACTGTTGAACCGTGGTGGTGGGCGCGCGAGGTGCTCGTTTCGTCCTGGGTCAGTGGGTGGTCTCCCTCATATAGTTCATACCCGCTAGTCTATCTTTTTCATTCCCAAATTACCCACCCCTCTGCAGGTTTCTCCACGGGTTCTACTTCTACACCTGTACTCTCTGAGTCACCACCGTCCGATTTGAATTTTCCCCTGATGGACGGACGGTTGGACGAGTAGTAGTTGGGAGTCAAAGGCTTGTGCGGTTGTACCGAGGGAGAGTACAGGGGTGGATTTTGGAGCTAAAAGCCGCAAGTGACAGCTGTTCCCATCGCTTTTGTTGGGGGAGTTTAAGCTTACAACTCGGAGTTGACAAGCGAGATACGACGGTATCGTATCGGGGGTGTGGAAGGAATTCTAGGCATCAGTTTTCCAACCGTCAGATCAGATTGGTCACGAGCCCAACATTCAAAACTTAAAATCAGGCCGTCTCTTAAGCGGGACCCACTGTCATTGTCGGCTTTTAACCCACCTAGGCGTATAGGAGACTAGGGGCTCCCCCATAGCCTACGAATCGGAGGCTAGTAAATAGTAATTTGTCCACCCCATCGTATTGGTAAGCAGTTAATTGCCCAAATTAATAACTGAGCTGTGACCTGTGAGCTCTTCCCCCGTCTTATGGGTATGCTAAGATAGTAAAATGACCTTAATATCCTTACCTTTACTTTAAATTTACGACAAACTTGATCTTGTTTTGTTTCCAGAACATTCGAACTCTGCAGTGTAATTGTGGATTGATTTCCATCCAGCGTGAGGTGTTTCTGACAATCCACTGAATGGAGGGGCTACAAGGGAATTATATTAAACTCTAAGCTATTAAATTTTAATCCCATGTTGAGCTTGGACAGGCTGGAATGGCATGGTGGCAGGGTAGACCGTAAATTATATATAAATCTAAGACGGTTTATATTTCCGTTGGTAGTTTAGAATCCCTTAAAATTATGGGGTATGCCTCGTTAGTCGTTACCCTAGAAATCTAGAATCTGCACAAAATTGCACTGCATCTGCATCTGCATCGCAGTTTTAGCTATTTCAAATAATGGCATTTTGGTCAATGTCGTGCAATCCGAATTTACTCGTCCGTGAAAGATGGGGTGTTTTCGTAATATATGTAAAAATCGAGGGTCATCAGTTTCTATTTTGTGTGCCCAGTGCCCAGTGCCCAGTGCCCAGTGCCCACCCACCACTTCACACACTCTGCTTGACTAGTAACTGCTATTGCATGTACTTGCAGGCTGCTAGGCTACACAGCACGAGAGCTCTGCAACAACACCGAAGCCGAGTGCGACTGTGCAAGGGAGTTTTTTCTCTGCGCAAAGCTGACGACCTTCATATCCTTCCTGTAACCCTAAATTCTCTCTCCCTCATAAGCGGCTTTTTTTCACGCAAACCAATGCCTAATACTCGCATAAATCAAAGCTCTCTATATGTTTGATCATAAAAGAAGATCGCGAATAACAGGAAAAATAAAAATGGCATTTTGAGCGTGAACAAGGAACATTGAAACCTATAGAAGAAAAAGGAAAATTCCACTGCAAAGAAAAGTATTTACCATCTTTTCAGCTTTATTGCTCGGTCTCTCCATTCTCTTTGTAAGTTTCACGGTCTCGGAATGCTTTCGGAGGTTTTTGACAGCTAGAAAAGTTTCCTGGCTTCAGTTTTTGTTTCTGGGTGCTTGTGTTAGTGATAGGACGGTTGATCTCGCAGGGATGTGAAGGTTATCCGGCGAATGATTCATTTTGGCGGAATGCGGCTGGCTAACCGGTTTCCGCCAAATGCTTTGAAATTTCGGTAAATTTTCTCTCTTCTTGTTTCCGTTTCTTTCTTCCATCTGAAGTGATTACGACCACAGTATCCTTTTTTTTTTTTCTAATTAGCTTTTCTTTATGTAACTGTAAAGCAATGGAAAAAACGTAGTGGATAAATCTCGACATTTTGTTGTCTTTGTTGCTGAACTTCTTTGCAGATGAAACGAGTGTTGGAGGATTTTCGGCTTTGCTGGTTGAAGATCTATCATGAGAATGCGATTTCTAAAAGGATCTTGGAGGAAAAGAGTTTGATTCCGCTGGGAACTTTATGTTGCATTGAAAAAGCTGTTTGATCTCTGTAATCTTTGGTTCTTGGCCCTGCATTTTGGTTCCTTCGACAGTATCATCGGTTCTCCTTCGAATTCGGCTTCCTTTGTTGCAATATTTTGTTCCAAGGTTTCCTTTACGGAGGTTGAGGATAGGCGGACTATTGGAATTAAAACAAGTTTGAAGAGCTAAAGGAGGTAGAAAAATCATTATTTCCACCTCCTTGGTTTAAAACTTTTTGATCAAATATTATTTGTTTACTGTAAGAGAATCAAAACAAGGTGGTGCGTTGCCAGAATTAGGTGGGCTGTTGTTTCCAACCGAAAATATTGGAAATATCTAGGCTTTGTCATTGAATTCACGAATTCAAAACTAATTCTACATTAAGATTCAGTGAAGAATTTGGCGTTTAAAGTTTCTTGAAGAAAGGGAGCTGGAAAGCGCCTCCCTTTAGGGTTGTGGATATAGCTTTGGTTAAGATGTGCAGGAATTAGAGTGATCGAGAGGTAACGATGGCAAGTGCTTGGGATCATCTTGGGGAGATTGGCAATGTTGCACAGCTCACTGGCCTTGATGCCGTGCGGCTAATTGGGATGATAGTCCAAGCCGCAAGCACAGCGCGTATGCACAAGAAGAACTGCCGGCAGTTCGCTTTGCATCTGAAGCTAATTGGGAACTTGCTACAGCAGCTCAAGATCTCAGAGCTAAAGAAGTATCCGGAAACCCGAGAGCCATTGGAACAACTTGAAGATGCGTTGAGAAGGTCTTACATTCTGGTGAATAGTTGCCAGGATAGGAGCTATCTCTATCTGCTGGCAATGGGATGGAACATCGTGTACCAGTTCAGGAAAGCTCAGCAAGAGATTGACCGGTACTTGAAAATTATTCCCCTCATCACCCTTGTGGATAATGCGAGGCTCAAGGTATTCTTTAATTATTTTCATTTTGTTGTTTTTTGGTTGTTTTGATTCTTCTCCTATAAGGTACTAGTGTTCTCTCTTTTGCCTTTTGCAATGTACTGCTCCCTTGATGGCTGTATCTCCTGTTTATTGCTGGAATCTGATTATCAGAAATTGAAGTCAAAATATATTTTCTCTGCATTATGTCTTCTCTTAGTTGCTTAATTAGTTGGGATCCAATGCTAGTTATTTTAAATTATATTAACATTCAGATGTAATAATGACTTAAAGGGATTTTATAACATTATGATCTTTATTGCACACGAGGGTGAAATATTGGTGCTATACATAGTTACATACACTGCTATTTTCTTGTACATTTGACCTCAGTTGCAACTTTACATGTTAGAGGGTGGAGCACAATCTTAACAACTGATAACAGCTTAGTAGGAAAAATGATCATTCATAAGGAAAACTTCAGCTTGATTGGATTTCATTAAAAATGTATTTTGACTTTAACTTTTGCAACAATACCATTTGGGATTGGCTGGATAGGTCAAGCATTTCAACAGGTTGGTGTGCTGTGAGGAACTGTGTATCAATAAAGCACCTTTCTGTATCCTGTAACTGAACATACTATTTCTTTCCTGTCCTACTTGGGGCAGTTGATCTGAACTCTGCATCAATCTTACCTTTGACTCAAATGGGCCCTGTCTTGCTATTGAATTTATTAGAATGTCTAGGTTTTAGTTGCTAGGTTCCTGCCATGGTTTGTTATTTTAATATTGATGAATATTTCGCCATCTAGAGTTGGAGAAATTTTGGAGATATTTCACTAGTTTTGCTGAGATATTTGGAAAACCTAAAAAATCAGTTAAGTTTTCTAGAAACACAGAATTTGTTAATAAACCTTCAAGACATCATTAGAAGAAATATAAAATTGCACATTTAAGGCTCAAAACCATAGCAAAGAACTATATAAATCAAATAGGAAAAATTAAGATACCGTAATAGGTATGTTTCTCTTTGTATCCCTTTTGGTCTTTAGCCATCTTCTCTTTCTCCATATATGTCAATTATTTGCCATTTTAACTTTTTCCTTTATTGTTATTTTATGTTTTGATTAGATTGAGAATACTTTTATAGTTACATGATTTTCTTTTTCTTTTGAATTATAGTGACTTAGTAATTGAATCATATCCAGTGATTTAAAAGGTGCGCCTAGGTGCACAGGCGAGGAGCATTTCAGGGTAGGCGCCTTGCCCAGGTCCTAGGCACAACCCTTTCAAAAGGCGCATACCTGGTGCGCCTTACGCCTCAGCCCAAGCGTGCGCCTTTTGAAACTTTGATGCTTTTTTTTGCTTTTTTTTGTGTCTAGTGGTTGGGTTGGGGACTCCGCCCCCAGACCCTGTGCCACGCCCCTTGAGGCATTTATTGTTTTTTGTGTGGGAAATAAGAATTTAAAACCAAACCTAGACTTGTTTGGGCTCGCCTCAAGGGGTGTGGTACAAAGGTGGCTCGTAGAATCGGGAATGTAATATGTTTTACATCACATTAGCTACTTGAAGTAATGCAATTGAGAAAAAAAGAGATTGTGGGTTTTATATGCTTGAAAATGTTTTATATATTTGATTTTATTTTTAAATTCTCATTTGAATATGCTTTACATGTTATATTTATGTATTTTAATATTAGATAGTAGGTTTTTAAAACATTTATTTTAAAATTAAAGTTTATATTTTTATTAATATTATGTTTAATATTTTTTTTTTGCATTTTTGATTTTTAGCCTTTTTTTATAATTTTTGTGCCTTGCTTAAAAAGGTGTGCACCTCACCTTGCGATTCAAGCGCAAATTGACCCCTGCGCCTTACGCTTTTAAAACATTGATCATATCATAGTAGTAAGCAAATATCTAATCACCAATTCCCTGCTGGTTCTTTTAGGACAATATTTAAAGAAAAAAACTATGATGGTTTTAATGAAATATTGATAATTTTCAATAACACTCTAAAATTTTAAATTTTAAATATATAGTCTAACAATGAAATCTGAAATATCGCTGACATATTGGGGATGTATGGAGAAAATGACTCTCGGGAGATTTTGTATCACCACCTAGCAAATGGGGATATTTCGGGGATATATCACCAAATATCGTTGATATTGCGAACCATGCTTCCTGCAAAGTAACATGCACTTACCAAGAACTCCAGGTTGTCTGGTATAGGTTGTTGCCTTTGGCACTGGTAGTGATTTGGGAGTTGTTTCTGGTATTTTATTTCATTATGCTAGTGGTTGAACTGAATCATTGAATTACCAAATTTGGAGATTTCCAAACTTTTGAGCCATCAATACCTTCAAATATGAACCAAGACCTTTTTTATTGGGGAGCAGGGGTTTTCTTCATAGGAAATGCCTATGTAGCCAACCTCTGAATAAATGTTTTATTGTTGGAATGTTTTCTTGTGACAGTAGATCGTTTTAACTTGTTTGGTTTGGAGGAAGTTAGCATCCATTTGTTTGAAAATGGCAGAAAATGAGACAAGGAGAGAGTCAGTGAGCAAGGAAAGGTGGCATATTTCACCTTTTTGTTAACTACTTGGTGCTTGGAACTGAACAGGGCGGGGCAATGTTTAATTAAGTTCTTGGTGCTCTATCTACACAGCACTGGGGAAGAACCTGCACTAATATATACTAACTCAAACAAGGATGTCCTATTTACTGTATTTATAGCCATCTTGGATTTACAGATTACTGTATTCATGAAATAACGTTAACATCCCATAGTATTCATTCTTTATTTTCCCCTCTTCTTGAATGTGCAGGAAAGGCTGGAAGATATTGAAAGAGATCAACGTGAATATACTTTGGATGAAGAGGACAGAAAGTTGCATGCTGTTATTCTAAAACCCGAGCCTACAAAAAATGACACAATGGTGTTGAAGAAGACCCTTTCTTGTTCTTATCCAAACTTGCCTTTTGATGAAGCACTTCAAAAGGAAAATTCAAAACTACAACAGGAGTTACAACTATCACAAGCAAACATGGATGTGGGTCAATGTGAGGTAATTCAACGTTTGCTTGAAGTTACTGAAGTTGCAGCAAGTTCTCTACCAGACAAGGATTCACCTGACAAAAGTTCCAAGAAAGTGGAGCCAAAATATTCAGATGCCCATAATGATAAATTGCATTCCTTCGATGAGAGATATCATGGGGAGAATGATACTTATGTGCCCTCAAGGTTTGTTTCCTTAAAGTTCGTATATTTGTGGATCCAAGTAATTCGGATGAACAACAATTCATCGCTAGTTAATCCTTAATTATTGCATTACCTACCTAGGTCAGTAGGTACATGCATTGGACATAAAACCAGACAATCTCTATCCAAGCTTAGTCTAAACTTTTATTTTCCATATAAGATTATAATGTCAACAATCTGCTATTCATTTTGTGGCTCAGTGACACCCTAATTATTTCTTTTGCAGAACTACTTCTTTAGTTTCATCTGGACATGACCTACTCTCAACTAGAGGATCACACCGGCATGAAGAATGGCATTCAGATTTACTTGGCTGTTGTTCAGAACCTTATTTGTGTATGTATTCCCTAGTTTTAATGCATTAATTTGGAATTATTCATGAATGTTAAGTGGGTCAATTCCCCCTTCCTTTGGCAAGTTTCATTCGCCACTGCCACACTGTGCATCATTTTTTTTTGTCTTGCTGTTATTGTTATGACATCTTTGATCACCTGCCTAGCAATAGAAGATATACTTATGTTTTATTCGATATTATATGTTTAGGAATTGAAGTTTACTCTTACTAGGAACTAATGAAAACTAATGCTTGTCCATTTATTTGGAATTAATAACTGCAATTGCCACTTACAAGCAGAATGGGATGTTTGAATTCTGTTTGGAGTGGCGCTATGTAGTGTAAATATCATGGAATGTCATTTGGCTGAAAAAAAAAACTTGGAAATTCTGTATCTAGTTAAGGAATCTCTTGGGGTTTTGGTCTTAGAGGAGGTCTTAGGGAGGATGAACCTTAGAGGTTAACATCCTTGCCGACTTTTTAAATTTATGATTGTCTTTTTGTTAACTGCTTGGGTTTCATCCAAAGGAATGTTATCAGGGATGGCAAAATTTATGATTGTCTTTTTTGTATTTTGTGGGAGCCAAGGGATACAAAAGAAAGGATCATTTGGTAAAGTGGGAGGTGGTGTCAAGGAGCAGGGATAACGGAGGATTAGGGATAGGGAATATTAAACTCAGGAACTTGGCACTATTGGGTAAATGGCTATGGAGGTTTCCTTTGGAACAAAAAAATATGTGGCATAATGTAATTGTAAGCATCCATGACATGGCAGACACCGGATGGGATGTTGGTCTTGATCCTAGGGCATCACAGGCATCTCCTTGGAAGGCAATCCACAGCTTGCTACCTTCCTTCCACTTGTATATCAGGTATGATTCTTGTGCTGGAAATAAAGTGCATTTCTAGGAAGATGTCTGTTTGGGGATACACCTCTTAAAGACAGATTTCCACCTATCTACTTCTTGTCCCTCAACAAAGGGAGAGTGATTTCTTCTGTGTGTGCTAATGGAAACTCTTGGGATCTGGGATTGAGAGGGTTAAGGGAATATGAAATGGGCATAGTCGATGATCTCATTTCCCTTCTTAGTAGTGCTTTCTTGGATCCTTCTTGTCAGGACGCTAGGATTTGGTTGGTGCCCCCTTTTTTCTCTTTTTTTTTTTTGATAATTGAAAATTTAATTTATTAATCAAAGAAAAATCTGTTACAAATAAGCCCAGAGAGAGGCTCGAGGTCAGCTGCACTCTTTAAGAACAAATCAGGACTACATGAGATAAAAGTTACCACTAGAAGAGAGATTATACACAATCATAAAGCTGCCCAGAACAGAGAAACCCTATTAACCCTTTGTTTTGCAAGAGAATGAGCCATCTCATTAGCCGATCTTCTTACCCATTGGATCCTCACTATCATATTCCTTGTTACCCAAGCCACCTTCTTAAGAAGATCTCTTAAATCCTAGACAGTTGAATCTGGATCCAGCAACCATCCCACAACAACCTGGGAATCGCCTTCAATTATCAGCCTTTCAATACCAAGTTGGCTGGCTAGCTGAATCCCCTATACAACAGCTAATAGCTCTGCTCTGGTAGAATCTCCTAAGCCAACTGGACCTCTAAGATATTGTTGTCCTTGCCTATCAAGATTCCTCCTATAGCACAGGGGCCAGGGTTACCTTGGCTGCTTCCGTCAAAGTTTAGTTTAACAAACCCTTCAGGAGGAGGGACCCAAACTGCAAGAAACCTCAGTTTTGAAGATGAAGTGCTAGCCACTGTTGACCAGTTCCTCCAGAAGTCATCAAAGGAGAAAGACTGGGATAAAGAGGTTGTTCTCAACCAGTGCATTGCCCTTAAGAAAATGCAATCCTTCAACTCAGAAAGGCTTCTCTCCTTTTGTCTCTTTTGCCTATGCTTCCTTTTACTCTGTCCTCCTTCAATCCTTACACCCGGTAGTTTCCTTCCCTACAAAGGATCCTGTACCCCCCAAAACAAGAGCCTTTTGCTGGGAGGTGGTGCTCCAAAAAATCAATACTATGGATAAATTACAAAAAAGGAGGCCGAATCACTACCTCTCTCCTCATGCTTGTTGCCTTTGTTTAGGAAATGGTGAGACAACTGCACATCTTTTACTGTATTGTCATTCACTTCTTTTGTGTGGAATTGGTTTTCTTCCCTATTTGGCTACAGGTGGACCCCTCCCCTGGATGTGGTAAGCCTTTTTGACCCAAGTTTCTCCATACTACCAAAGGAAAGGGGGTAAGGTGATGTGGAGGGCAACAAGAGCAGCCATCCGTTGGTCTGTATGGGAGGAAAGGAACAACAGAATCTTCCAAGGGGTAGAAAGATCAAAAGAACAAGTCATTGACTGCATAGCCATTAAAGTTATGCATTGGCTGAAAGTTACTGATTTGTTCAAAGACTTTTCAGTGGATGATATACTAAGGGGGTGGTTAGCAGTGGCAAATTCTTCATCTATACAGTCTGTGTTTCAGCCTTATTGGACTCCTGCAGCACAACAAAGGGTAAAATTAAACTTTGACGGAAGCTCCTTGGGTAATCCAGGAACCTCTAGAGTTGGGGGAGTCTTCAGGGATGGGAAGGGCAGACTGATGGCACTATATTCTGTTCCATAGGTGTGGGAGACTCTCTGAGAGCTGAAATCATGGCTCTACTACAAGGATTGAGATTGGCCAAGCAATGGGGATTTCAGAACTTTGAGGCAGAGGGAGATTCTGAACTGTTAATAGGATGGCTGCAGACTAAAAATCTGGGTGCATGGACTTTCAGACAACAGATAAGGGAAATACTGTGCTTAGCAAGGGAGGCTGGGGTAATCTTCAGAAGGGTAAGGAGGTCAGCCAACTCTGTGGCTGATGGTTTGGCAAAGCAGGGGGCCTTCAGGGAGAACTTTTTTTGGGCTGTACTGTAACTTTCTAACTTGATTGGGGCCAACACTCATTTTCTGAGTGGTTGACAATGTATGATGATTAATTACTATTTTTAATGAAAGTCACTGTTTCCAATAAAAAATACATCAAGAAAAATAAATGGGGAGTGCCCTATTGGTGGTCTAGCTCGTGATGCTGATGGGAGTTCTTCAGGTTTTCAGCAGGTTGATTGGTTCTACCACCATCAATGTCGCTGAGGTGTGGGCTGCTCTTGAAGCTTCACCAAGTAGCAAGGATCATTGCAGACAATTGTAATTAACTAATTATTGAAGGTGATTCGAAGTTGATCAATTGCCTCAAGGATAACAAAGAGCCCCCCTGAAATCTTAAAATGATTATTGAAGACCGCTATAATCTGTTTAGTAGGTTTGGATTGAATGTCCAATATTCACATGTATACAGGGAAGCCAACTCCATGGCTGATTATCTGGTTAACATTGGCCACAATGATGTGTTGGTTGAATCTGTTAGTGATACTAGGATTTTGACGTATTTATGCTTCTGCGGCTGTTGGGAAGGGCTACTCCCCAGTCTGTGTAGCTCCTTTTCTCCTTGTTATCAAATAAAAAAAAAAACTATTTTTATAAAACATCAAGGTTTAAAACATTCTTTTTATAAACTTTCTTCTGATAAACTCTTCTACAAACTAAACCTTTTCGCATTTTGCCTTTCCAGTTGTAGAATATGAGACACATTATCAGGCTGCATCAAGTTAAATTTTGATGGAAGTAGTATTGGGGAATCTGGATCCCTCAGGTGTGGGAGGGGTCTTTAGAGACGAGAAGGGAACTATAAAGGCTTTGTTCTCAGGGACAATAGGGGAAGGGGACTCGTTAAGATAAATTATGGCAGTGATTTGAGGAGTACAGAAAGCAAAAGAGATTAACATCAAGAAGCTTGTGATTGTGGGTGACTCTAAAGTGGTGGTAGGAATAGGATGGCTGCTGAATATGGAAGAAGCTTTGTGGCTTTATAGGAGTGAACTTAATTTCAAATGGATAACTGCAGGAATACAGGTTAAGGTTCAATCGGTTCTAAGATCCGCCAATGCTACTTGCAAAACAAGGGGGTGAATAGAGATCATTTATGTTGGGCTGAGTTGTAGTTAATGGGAAGAGATTGCTGTTCTACTCTTCATTGATGTAAATTACATTGTATATTATGATTTCATAAATTCAAGTAATTTATCAAAAAATGAGGCACACTATCTGAGGTATGAAGATTTACTGCCCCCTCTTCCATTGACAGTATTTGCTACTGATAGTTATAATTGTTTTAGTGGTGATTAGATATTGAATCAGTATACTTGTCAGACTATCATATTACACATTTGTTGGAAGATATTTAAGAATGATGGGATTTTATGATTTGCATACTGCATTTAACATTCTTGTATTGTATATTTAAGCTACCCTCAGTTATCACTATTATCTAAAAGGCTAGGTTGTTAATTGGTGCCACTAAGTTCTACAATTGAAATTTGAAAAGCTTTATATCTCATCTTGGAAAAAACATTGTCCGTTTGTTAGTTGTTAAGCAGGCCATGATACTCAAGTTCTTTTTCTTCTGTTAACCATTTTATAGATGGGTTATTAATTTTTCACAGGTATGAGGACTTTCTTCTATCCATGTGGCACATTTTCAAAGATTGCTACAGTGGCTACTAACAGGCATATGTGTAAGTATGTTCAACTAATATTCTGGTCTGATTTTCTCTTTATTTTCCATTTAACTGCAACTATGTGAGCATGACTTGTCTGAATTAATAATGTAGACATTGCTTTTTAGTACCACTTTTTTGCCCCAGATAAAAGCTAGAACTTTACAAGGTTTGTTAGATGTAATTCTTGATTGTGATTTCAATTATTTGCATCATAAAATGCTGATGTCCTATAGGATGGAAGCATTTCTGTTCATCTTGTCAATCTGCTCATTTCAGCAGTTTCGAGATGTAAAACCATATAAGATGCTGATGTCCTTGTACACAATGTTTGGAGATCACAAATCTTTCCTTCACATTATACAATGTTCTGGCTAACTTGAAGTGGGAAAAAAGGGCTTCCTTATCATAGTGAACCTTTTATTAGGCCCTGATGGCAATGCCAGATTCATATTCGAAGGAAGCAAATAGAAGCTGGATGATGCCATGAAAACGTTTTCTGTTATAAATGCAAAAAAAAACACTATTAAAATAGTTGGAGTTTTGCAATGCCTTCTAGGTGGATATGGTTATCCCAAATGCCTTTAACATTGGAGTTTTGCAATGTTCAGTCAATTATATAAATTTAACTGAGTGTAAGTGTGTAACTATTTCAAAATGCTATCCAACACTCTAATCATTTTTTCCTGGTGAGCAAGAATGTTCAATCGTGCAACTGAGTGTAACTATTTCAAGATATTTCACTTCTTAGTGGAATGTTCAATCGTGTAACTATTTCAAAATGTTTCTAGTTCTTAGGTTGTTGTATATAAATGTAACTGAGTGTTGGAGTTGTATTCCTGATATAGTGGCAATCAGAGTATTCAAATCTTGAAATCTCTAGAAAGCAAGCTAGTAAATTTTTTTTTTTTTTTTTTTGCCTTTATTGGATCTCTGAATGCAGTGAAAAATTGCTTTTATGGAGTTCTGAACTCTTGCATATGCATTGTGATATTAATTGAACAAGTTATACTGAGAAAAATGTCTTCTCTCTTGATCATTAGCTCCTGCAGAAGCCTGTAATGAACTCATGGCATATTCATTGATATTGTCTTGCTGCTGCTATACTTGCTGCATCAGAAGAAAGCTACGCAAGATGCTCAACATTACGGTATGCCCATTCTCATGGTCTTATTTTACTTGTTACATAGATGGAGGTTCCTAGAGAAATCAATGGGTGAACAAACAGTAACTAGAAAATTCTTTCAGTCTGTCTTATGGTTTTTACTAATGTTTCAGAAGTGTGCAGTATAAATTCACATTTCTCTTGCCTTTTATTTTTGGAGCTTTACAGCAGAAGTCGATGTCATGATTCCTTTTCTGCAGCTTATTTCTGCTTCTACCTTAAAAAATCTCCAAATCATAGTTGTCAAGGTGACACCTAGGCGACAAGGCACCCTTGGAGTCTCGGCTCGCCTAATCGCCAAGCAGTTTCCTATAGAGTGTTATAACAAACTTTTATATTTTTAATTTTTTGAGGTTATAATTATAAAATAGACATTTTTAAACTAAAATATCCATTTCGTGTGTTTATATACTAATTTCTTTTTGTTATTTTCTTATTTGTTAGGGTTTAACACAAACATTGCTAAATGCTGTATTGAACCCTCAAAGACTTCAAAACCTGAACCAATAAGTAAGAAAGAACATAAAATGTTGTCCAATCAACACATTTTCTTCTTTTTCTTTACTAATTGTGTTTTTATATACTAACTTTTTCTTCTTCTTCTTCCACCTTTTCTTTTCTTCTTTTCCTATAACAGAAATAGGGGTTCAGCCCTTATATTTTTTGAAAACCTGAACCAATAAGTAAGAAAGAACATAAAATGTTGTCCAATCAACACATTTTCTTCTTTCTCTTTATTAATTTTGTGTTTTTATATACTGGTTTCTTCTTCTCCCCTATATTTTTCGAATTTTCTTTTCTTTCTTCTTTTTCTTCTCATGAATATGTTGATTTTCTATACTTTAACATGAAGTTTATACTTGTGAAAATTATGGATATTTATTAAGGAAATATGATTATGGAACCTAGGGAACTACCCTAGGATACATATAGGCGCCCTCTTAGACAACTAGGCGACTAGACGCCCCCCTGTTGCCTATCCTCGCCTTGGCGCCTTGAAAACTATGCTCCAAATAGATAATTGGATATGATTATAAATCCAGTACTGAAAGGTACTGCTAAAAACAACAGTATTGGAATTTAAAGCAACTACTGTAGCCTACAACCCAAAAAAGGAGCCAAGTGTGCTCACAAAGGAAATGTGAAAATTGGAACGGGAAGTGTGGGTGGTAAAAATCCTTGTCAGGCCAATAATTGTCCAACATAAAGCCAATTTCAAAATACATTGCTAATGATAATTGAATATTATTGTATCACTGTATGCATTTTTATGCAAGTATTTCCCCCTTTCTAATTCAGGTTTTTTCATAGGTGCATGAAAATACAAAGTTGCTTCGAGCTGTGATCAATGGAAATAATTTTGTCCATTTGGTCACTCATCCAACAATCTGTGGTTTCCATTCTTTTTGAATAATCCAAAGCCCGCCCATCTTCTTGTGCACTTTAAACTCAATGATTAGTGTTTTGGAGAAGGAAAACATCAAAAAAAGGAAGATATTTGCTTGGGGAACAATTATTTAAAATGTTTAATAGTTAATAAAATCTCTGTCGGCCAAATGAAGAGGGCCAATTTAATCCATGTGTAATTTAGGTACCAAATGTACACTAGTTTCACCATATATTGCTTGTTGCTGAGTCCATCTTTCTGTTTGGCAGGGAGGCTTGTGTGATGACTTCCTCTCACATTTGATTTGTTGCTGCTGTGCCTTGGTTCAAGAATGGCGAGAAGTGGAGATCCGTGGAGTTTATGGTATGTTCTACTTCTACTCATGGAGCTTTTCTTAGCTCCTCTGAAATAGATGCATTGCCAGTAGCAATAGTCAAAAAAGTCTTGCTGATATTAAAATAACTTGCAGGTCCTGGAAAGACAAAAACAAGCCCACCACCTTCTCAGTATATGGAAGCCTAAGTGGGGTATATATAGGATGAAGCTTGGTCGTCTAATGGGTTACCACTCTTTAAGCTTTTACCATAGAACAGAGCAGTAGCATCTGTGACTTAGAAGTTGTACCTGGGATTCTGTTCTGTGCCATTTATTTAGCTTTGTAAATTTGGTATGTATACCTTCCAGATGAAGATGGTGTGTTATACATGCATTCTTAAATGAAATGTTTGCTTAATTTGATCTACACGATGGGGCAAAAGATAGACGGGGGTTAAGTCTATTTGATCCAGGTATTATAGGACGTGCACAAGCAGGGTACCTAATGAGGCAGTCTTTTTCTACCGAAAAAACGAAAGGCAGTCTTAAGCACTTGGACCGGTCAACTCATGGATTTAGGAAACCTTCCAACAGAACCACACACACTATGAATGGGAACATTCCACCATCCAGTAGGCATTTTGTGCATCAGACCCACCAACAGAATACCTCTCTTCTGTGACTTTCCATGGGATCACACAGTAGGATGATCAACATTCAATAATGAGACCATCGTGGATCTTTTCGATATCTATTACATTTGTACAGCCCATGTTTTTATCATCCGGACCCGCTGTACATGAAGCTGGACTGGAAGGCTATTGGTGATATACTGCTCATCATTTTAAAATTGTAAATCATAATTTTGTTTGGTATTTCTGATGCTTATGGTTATGACCAATTGATTTGATCCCACCACATTCAGCGGGCCAGTGTTTAGTAGGGACTAGTGCGTTGCGTAATGTGGTAGCCAGATTACCTACTCACTTTTTTTCTACCCACAATTCAAGATGGCGATGTGGCTGCAATTCCGGACGGATAGAGTATGGGTAGCCAGATTTCCTACCTCGCTTCACAAACTCATGTTCTTCTAACTCCTTCAGATTATCTGGGGCCCATGAATTTATTATTGGCATATAATATTATCATTGGTTTCACAGACAGTTTAACAGTCAGCCAAGGTTTAAAGTATCCATGCGCATCAGCTGATACGAATCATGCTGGTGGCTTTCTGATACGTCCTTACAATGGGTGTATTAGGGTTCTGATAGATTCAGGGGGTGGAGGAGTCTTAAACTGATCTCTCTGAATTAGTTTTAAAAAAACAAAAAACAAAACAAAAAAACATTATTGATATCACCCGATACGCCCAACCAGCCATTGCATTCTGCTAATCTTTCCTCTGTTGCAACCAGACACGATCTCGATCTCGGGCTTTTTACTCTACCAGGCATCAGGCTGGCTATCAGCTACTTAATCTGAGTCAGAGTGGCCTTCCTAGCAGTTGTTAAACGTAAACGTTAATTTTAAGCTGTCACACGGGTTACAGAGGTAATATTATCTTAAAATGACACTATTTCAAAACAGGATTTGAATATTCATTTATAAAACTTTAAATATCTTTATTATTCCAAATTTGCAATATTTTGTGCATCGCCCACCCCGAAAACCAATAAAAATATCTTACTAACGTACGATAATGTGTAGATACTCGGATCGTTATGTTGTGTTTGGTAACAGTACAAATTCTCATTTAATTGGGTTTTAATTTATTCTATTTCATTTAATTTGTACTATAATCAAACAAAATAAATTAAAATTTGAAACAAAAAATAGGTCAGAATTTACACTCAAATAATTTGCACTGTCATAGTTTTCTATCAGTGCAAATTTATTGCATTGCAACCAAACACAGCCTTAGGGGTGAGTCGGGTGACCATCAAAAACCAAAAAATAAAAAATAAAAACCGAGAAAGCTAATTAGTTGAACTAATTGATTTGGTATTTAGGCTCAGTTTGAAAAAAGTACAAATACAAATATATACAACATAAATACATGCAAAATAATATAAAATATAAGGTTTTGCACTCTACATATTTACATTTGTACTCCTTCCAAACTTAGTCTTAGACTCCATTTGAAAAGAGTATAAATACAAATATGTACTATGCAAATACAAACAAAATATAAAGTTTTATACTCTACATATTTGTATTTATACTCCTAAACTGAGCCTTAGAAAAAACCGAACCAATTCAATCAGTTTTCCTTAACCAATATCCAATACATATAGGATTATATATATATATATAACCAAGCCCGCCCGGCGCCTGTAAATGGTGAGTAAACGTATAGGCAGAGGCAGAGAGCTGATGATAGTTGGAGAACCGAGGGGAGGAAAATGGATATGGGTTAGAGGGTATGGATGCAATGCAAAATGGGTCCTATCCCATCTCCCATCTGAAAGGGACGGGGGAGGTTTGGGCGAGTGTTCTGTTATCTTCGTTATCTTGTTAGGGAACGAGAGGTCTAAACTGCATCGCCCCTCAACTCAATCACTTGTACCTACGTATAGGCTATATCCCCTCAGCTAACAACAAACACATTTTTATCATCTCTATCTATAATCTATATACCATTCCCCTTCCCCTTCCCCATACACTTCACCAAAACAGAAGAATGGAAGGCTGGAAGCTATCCAATGTCTCACGAGCTATCTTATTAAATTTCTCTCAGACATGACTCAACAGTACTCTTCTACCACTGCTTGTATGTATCACAAAATCCCATCTTTCAACTTGTCTCGGTAGCCCGTAGCGCATAGAGTCGAGCTTACTTTTGAGAAACGAAGTTTGAAATAGCTTGGTTCCTTAGCCAGTAGCAGCTTTTCACTTTCTCAGTGCTCCCAGTCCCATTCTCCAGTACTGAAACCGAGCTTTTCATGGCAACGCCAGTTTCTATCGAGGTTTGGAACCCAAATGGAAAATACAGAGTCGTCAGCACCAAGCCCATGCCTGGGACCCGGTGGATTCGTCTTTTGACCGATCAGGATTGTCGGGTGGAAGTAAGTAATCTACTTCCTCTTCGTGTCGGATGACTCGGATCGGTAAATTTCATCGATCCATCTATTATTTTCCGATGCGACTTTTAATCTATTTATGTTATTGCTTCTATAGATATGCACCCAGAGGAAAACCATACTGTCTGTGGATGACATTCTCGCTCTCATAGGTGACAAGTGCGACGGTGTGATCGGGCAGGTTAGTTTCCTTTTTTGTTTTCTAAGTCCTTTGTATCGACAGAAGAGGAGGGGTTTTTAAGAACTCTTTTTAGGCTTAAATTATTCGATTCTTCTGTTTATTGGTTTTGGTTTCAGTTGACAGAAGACTGGGGAGAGGTGTTATTCTCTGGACTTAGCAGAGCAGGCGGGAGAGCTTTCAGTAACATGGCTGTTGGCTACAACAACGTCGACGTTAATGCAGCCACTAAGTATGGAGTTGCCGTTGGCAACACTCCTGTAAGTTTTTCTTAATTTAATTCCTTTCTACTTTAGTCGGAACTCGGAAGGTTTATAAGATAACTGCATACTAGATTCATAAAATTCAGTTTTAAGTCTCAGCAGAAACACGTTCATACAGATTTGTTGAACTTGCATGGCTGCTCTCTCAGATTCAATATCTAGTAGTTCGAAGAACCAAGCCTTTGTTTCTTTTTGGGAGATATATTGATTTGTATACTTGAAATGAACAATAAATTCTGAACTTTTGGATCACCCCTCTTGTCTGTTTGCTAGGGTGTACTTACAGAGACAACAGCAGAGCTAGCAGCTTCACTTTCTCTTTCAGCATCTAGAAGAATAGTTGAAGCAGATGAGTTCATGAGAGCTGGTTTATATGATGGATGGCTTCCTCATCTGTATGAATTATTACCCTTGGAAGTCTTCCTTCAAATATTCAGCCATACACTGATATGTACATAGATTACAAAGTACTCAAAGGCGGGAACAGCTACATGATTTGAGTTAATGTCTCTGATAGGTTTGTGGGGAACTTGCTCAAAGGACAAACTGTGGGAGTAATTGGAGCGGGACGTATTGGATCTGCTTATGCTAGAATGATGGTAATATCTAATTATCCATCTTTTCTTACTCTTTAAAATTTTAAGCAGGAAATTGTCTCTCCAACCTTGAAACAGATCACTTCTTTTCTGTGAACTGTGAACACCCATTTCTTTCAACTACTTTCTCCTCACATGCTTGGTTTATTAAATATCATGGCCTAATCCTGCAAGTCTTCTTCTTCAATAGGTTGAAGGGTTCAAAATGAACCTAATATACTATGATCTGTACCAAGCCACTAGGCTAGAGAAGTTTGTTACAGGTGTGTTAGGGTCAACCTTTCAGTTTTGATTGCTGCTAAATACTTCTTTCTTCAATACTTACTTGTCCGTCCTTTGCAGCTTATGGAGAGTTCCTCAAAGCTAGTGGTGAAGCGCCCGTCACCTGGAGAAGAGCTTCAACCATGGAAGAAGTCCTCAGAGAAGCTGATGTGGTAAGAAACCTTGTGCTCTAGACCTTCAAACCTAATTCTAGCATTGTGGTCTAAATCAAACCTCAAGATGTGTGAAAGATCAACCTTCATTGCATGTTCAAGTACTAGAACTGATAGAGTGGAAGACTTGTAGAACATTTGGGTTGCTTCAATGATCCTAAACCAGATTATCAATTAATCTTGAACTAAATGGGGTGTGATTTGTGCTTTTTGCAGATAAGTCTTCATCCTGTCTTGGATAAAACAACGTACCATTTGGTCAACAAAGAGAGGCTCTCAATGATGAAAAAGGTGAACTCTATATGGGCTTTGTTTTTTATATGCTTCATGAATCACATAAAGAAATATGAGCACAAATGGATTGAAATCAAAACCTTCTGCTGGTTATAGGAGGCAATTTTGGTAAATTGTAGTAGAGGCCCTGTGATTGATGAAGCTGCCTTGGTGGAACATCTGAAAGAGAATCCAATGTTTCGAGTTGGTCTTGATGTCTTTGAGGTAACCACTTTGCTTACTACTTCAGAATGTTAACCATGGACCTTAATTGTGAAGTGAAGCTCCTAAGTTTTGCTCTTTTGTTTGAACGCTCTTACTCAACAGGAGGAACCTTACATGAAACCTGGCCTTGCTGACATGAAAAATGCCATTGTCGTGCCCCATATCGCTTCTGCTTCCAAGGTAAAAGCAACCCCTAAAGCAGATGCACACCAACCATACTGAACAAAGATATGCATACTCTCACCTAGACTACTCTTAATCTTAGAGACTACCTAATTGAACATTTTTCCTGATTGTAGTGGACTCGTGAAGGAATGGCAACACTGGCTGCTCTGAATGTCCTGGTACGTCCAACAAATTCGAACAACAAGACTCGGATTCTGCTCAACTTGATTACATCTAGCATCTGTGCTGATATTCTTTTGTTGAGGATGCCACTGGACTTATATATCGTCGAATAATTTAAATGTTCTGTTTGTGCTTTCTTTTTTTTTTTTTCCTTTTTTTCTCTGTTTATAGGGGAAGATTAAAGGATATCCAGTTTGGTCTGATCCAAACCGAGTAGAACCATTCCTGAATGAAAACTCCCCACCGCCCGCTGCTTGTCCGAGTATTGTAAATGCAAAAGCCTTAGGTACAGAGTTTTAGCCTTTAAACCAAACAATTTGTAGATTTTTTTCAGGCTTTGTCTAATCTGCTTTATTCTTCCTTTTTTGTAGGCTTAACTGCTTCAAAGCTTTAAGGGCTAAAAGCTTCAGAATGCTCATGCCATTAGTGATTCTTCAGTTCTTAAAAGGAGAAAAAGAGAGCGACTAAGGATGTATATTTGCTTTACATTGTGTTATGAACTGGCTTCATTGTTTTCTTTTTCTAAATATATATATATATATATATACGAACTATTTAAAGTTCTTTTTTTTCCAAATATAAACATGGATCCAAGGTTCAAAAGTTTTTTTTTTTTTTTTTCAAATCGGATTCAGAGGGGCCGGTTTAAGGTCCATCCACCCCTGAACCGGTCAAAACCCCGATACACCCTCTGGAGGGGCATATTGGGAAGTTTCCGATACCGATATTTTGACCTTGCATGGATTAGCAATTTATTAAGCCTGATACTTGTTGCCTAATCAACCCTTGTATCAACGATGATACAGAAAATGCTAATAAAAAAACCAAATTTTGAATCAGTATATGTGGGGAAAACTGCTTAAACCTCCATTGTTTTTGGACAAATACTTAAAACAAACATTCACTTTATTTTGACCTTCAGATGTTTTGAATAAATATGCAAGCATGCCCTTTATGTTAATTGTCCTTGAAAAGTTGGTTCTATTGTTGAATTCATCAAGTAAACAATTGCGGGAGAATGACGGTTGAGTCCTGGGTCGGAATTTTTAAGCCCAAAGTACAGTTAGGGTGGGTGCCAATTCGGAATTGATGCCAATTTAAAGGCTGGCATTGGTGTATAGAGTGAGGACTTTTGACATTTTGAATGTTTATAGCTCTGCATGGAAAGAAATCTGCATTGGGCCTATCTGTACTTCTCTGAAATGTTAAGTTGCGGATAACAGAGAGATTTAATTATCTTAGAAAAAGGAGGTTCTATTAGGGAGGCTTTTGCAAAGGTCAAAGTACAGGAAAGGTTCAAGGATTTATGAAAAAATGCAACGGGTGGTTTTTGCAAAGGTCAAATACAGGAAAGATTCAAGTATTTATCAGAAAACGCAAGGGGGGTTTAGGGCATGATTGTCACTACATCTTTAAATAAAAACAAGGTTCTTGCCATGTGCATAAATAGATTTAAATATGTATAGGGCTGTAAATGGCTTGGCTTGGATATGATTCATAAGATTCTAAGTCTGATATAATTATTAATAGGATGAATTTCTGAAACCTCCCCTTAAGTTTTGAAAATTGCAATCATCAGTCCTGAACTTTATGACATAGTTGCGAGTAGACCCATTTTGTTAGAATCCTCTTAAAAAGAGGCATAAAAATGTCCAAAATACCCATGCTGTTACTATTAGAGCTGGTTTCTATAGAAAAACAATACAAACATTATAAAAACCATAAAAATAGAATATAAAGTTGCAACTTTACCTTTGAACGATTGATATAAAGGGTAAATTCGGAAAATAAATCAATTTTAGAAAATAGATTGGAAGGGCTTGGAGTAACAATTCATATGTAGAGAAAACTTGGAAAATAAACATTTTGGCCAAATTGCATGGGTATATTAGACATTTTCATGTCTCTTTTAGAGGATTCTAATAGAGGGGGTCCACTTGCAACTATGTCTGAAAGTTCAAGGGAGGTGATTGCAATTATAAATTTTTATGGGAGGTTTCATAAACAACCAAAAACTTTAGGGGAGGGTTCACACATTTACCCTTATTAATAAAATGTATATTGTGAAAATTCAAATCCAATCCAATTAGGTAAAGATCATCCAAATCCGAAGAGATATATTTTAAATGATAAAAAGGGTATTATCTAAAATTTCCTCACTTTTCCAACATTTTTTTTTAATATTTTTCATTGCCTAATTTAACAAAGTTTATCTCAATAATGCCTTAATAATGACTTTGGATTATGCTTTAGAATGGTTTCATTCATAGTTTTGTTATTTATGGTCGTTAATATATAGAATTTCAATTGAACAATTAGGGTCCATTTGGTTTTCAGGAATATGTGCCTAGAATTAGAATTAGATGGCCCATTCCAATTCTATTTGTTTGTTTGTTGGGAATGAGATTTCAATTCCCATTCCAAAGTATGTCAAGAAGTAAAAAACTCATGACAAAAAAATCCCAAAACCTAATATTAATAAAACAATAAAATATTAGTAAAGTAGTAACAAAATAATAGTACTATAATAAAATACTACTAAATTAATAATAACAAAACAAAGATATTAATTATTATATATAATAATAATTGATGAGGGGTAATTTGGCCTGATCTGTTAACATATAGACACATGGAATAACCTGATGATTGGATGAAAACTCAGCATTTCTAGCCACCTTAGCAAGCTAGGTCACCTCAACCATCTTGGACACCTCGGCTAGGACCGAGGTCCAAGCAGCTCATAGTGTCCTGACTTGCCAAGGTGCCACGTAGCCCATTTATAGAAGCTAGCCAGCTGTCTTCGACCTTTTCGGGAAGACATTGCACGTACGCAAACATTATCCTTATTCAACCAAAATTGGATAGACTCAATAAGACTTATTAGTACACACGAAAGTCCATCTTCGGGTGCGAAATAGACTCTGGGTAACGCGGGTCGAGGATCTCGAATGTGTTTCATGATGCCTACGGCAATTCGGCAAAATAAAGTCTTCACCTCAAACCTTATAAGGTACACGTGACTTAGCTCTCTAGTCCTCTCACTTACAAAGCTTTGAAGCTAACAATCACTATCCACTAATTTAAGCATTGCAGTGCCCACACCGGGAAAAACTCCCTAGGTTCTCTAATCGTGTTCTCTTGTAGTTTGACTGACCATATAAGCAGACCAACGTCAGAGCTATTGCCCAGCCAAGAGCGACTAGATCGTGCATCATTAATAACGATAATAATAATAAAGAATAAATAAAATATCAATATAATATAATTAAAGTAATAATAAAATAAAAATATATTAATTAATGACAAAAAATAAGATATTAGTTGTTAAATACTAATAATATAATAACAATACAGTATTAATAAAATAATTATATATTCATAAAATATTAATAAAGTAAAATAAACTAATATAAAATTTAAAAATCTAGATTATGATTCTTGACTTAACTAAACAGGCATTAAGAATATTTCAATCCTATTTGTAAACCAAAGTGATGATTCCATTTTGAGAGAATTCTGATTTTGATTGCAATTCCGATCCTTTGTATGAACCAAACGGACCTTTAGCAAATTTACACTAAGTAGCTTTATCTGCTTGTTTAACTCTATGTTTGAATGAAACTGCAACTACAGACTTAATGATAGAATTGGTGAACTTACCATCTCATCTAAGTGAGGAATCAGAAATTCAGAATTCCATTTTGTTGGTTGATCCAGAAGTTTCTTCTCCAAATCACCCCTCCATTGTCCATTCCAAATTTCCAATATTGCTGGTAGTGGACCCTCCCTGGTTCATGGGCTATCATTGCAGTACAATGGCGAGCCGAGCCCATGCTGGGAAGTTCTAAGCTTCTTTCCCCATCCAGGCATCCTTGCACATGGAGGAGGGTCCAACTCTCAAATGTCAACTGCTTTATCTTCGTCTTTAGATATGGTTGGGTCCTTCATTTTTGAATTGGGATCTTCTACCGATAACATACATTCCAACCTTCTACCAACTTAATCTAAGACCCGCCATATGAAATGTGCCGTTGGGTAGTGATCCGGGTCATTTATTTTAGGGAATGAATAAATGATTTGGGTGTTTTACTCTCTATTTCTCTCTCTCTCTCTAAATGTTGACTACAAAGTTTGGCTGGCTGTATCCTGTATTGTTTTATTTTAAAGCTTTCTACTCGTAATACGTTATTTGATATACTTTTATTTATCTTTTTTTAGCTAAGAACCCTTTCAAATTACTCTTTGACCCAAAACACCTTTTACAATTACTCGTAACTTTCCAACGCTGATGAGGTGACAACTGGATTTGATCCAAATCCAATTATCCAATTCTCCGTCACACACCTTACAAACTGATCTCGTTCGGTACCGTGTTTTTTTAACTCACAACACAACAGAAATAGTAATTGAACTTTTTTACAAAAAATTGAGTGTTCCAGTAAAAGTCGATATTACTGACCCCACCGCCGTACCGGCCCATTGTAACTCGTGTTCACGCGTGAGGGAATACGCTACGCAACCTTCTTTTACACGAATCGGGAGGATATATCCTACTTTCTTTATTATGTTCATGCTCTCATCGTTGGATTAGAATCCTCGTGTGATTAAATCTTCTTTCGAAAACCTCATAATCTAATACTTCCATCTGACACGAGCCCTAATTTTAATCTGACGGTTCAGCTTACGAAGGACTATACGTACACCTTCATGGTAAACATCTTGAAGGTGAAGGTCTCAGTCTGTGTTGACTCGATAATTAATTACAAAAAAAAAAAGAAAAAATAATACCTAATTAATAATGATATTAGTTTGAAGGGTTATAAGTATGGGTTAGGGCTCTCTGTCCATCTTCTTGTTTCCTCGTTTGGTCCTCGTTTTCTGGTGTTAGGGTTTTCTCTTTTCTCTGGGAGGGAGGGAAGTGGGAACGATCTGTTCTCTTGTTTGTTTCTTTCTGATCATCTAAGCTTAAAGATCCTCCTCAATCATGTCGGGGAAGAAGGTTACCTTGAAGAGCTCCGATGGAGAGACCTTCGATGTTGATGAAGCCGTTGCCCTTGAATCCCAGACCATCAAGCACATGATCGAGGACGATTGTGCTGATAACGGGATCCCCTTGCCCAACGTCACCAGTAAGATCTTGTCCAAGGTTATTGAGTACTGTAAGAAGCACGTCGAGACTCCTAAGACCGACGATCGTGGTGCTGAGGATGAGTTGAAGAACTGGGACGCCGAGTTTGTCAAGGTCGACCAGGCCACACTTTTCGATCTCATATTGGTCAGATTTATTCCTCTTCTCTCACTCTTCCTCTCTGCTTTTCCTTTTTCTGCTTTCATTTTATTGTCCACACCGTCCCATTAATCTTCCTATCCAATATTTCTCTATTCCATTGAATATTCTGTCTTCATTTTGTTTTGATGTGTGACTGATTTTAGGATTTCGATCTGCGGGGGGCATCTTTTGATTAGGGCAGGTGTTCATATCGTGAATCTGATTGATGGTTTCTCCTAATTATCTTTTTTTAGGATCTTAAGGTTTCTAACATGGGGCACTAGTAGGATGGGGTTGATCTGTGCTGCTCTTTTCCTCCTTACATTGATCGGTTCTTAGAATTGGATCGCCAAAAATAAACTACTAACCATATATGTTTTTTTGACGAGTGCCTGGTTCTCAAGTTTGTGTGTCTTTGTTCCTTTGGGCAAGGTAATGTATTTGTTTACATCCCACAGATGCCACCATCGCCTACTCCATATTTTAGAACCTGTAGAGGTGAAAGTTGTTATGATTTTAATTTCTTCTTGGTCAGGGTGATTTGTTTGGTTTGCCCGTCACTAATGGAGGTTTTCAACTAGTTTCGTCCAAAATTATACATGTGATTTCTGTTTCTTGATTGTTTCTTGGTGTGTTGTACAATGACTTTTATTCATTTGTAATATTTTCTCCATGTTCTGCCTCATTATCTGATTACATAATGGGCAGTGTTTGTTTTTTTTTTTTTAAAGGTGTATTCCATTTTAATTCTGGTATTTTTGCTCATGCGGCCTGGTTTTTGGAATGCAATTTCATTGGCATTGGTATAAATTAAAACCCAATGCAAAAATGAACCGCTATTTGCAAATCGTTGTTTTCGAACTATTCTAAATTAAATTGCATTAGCAAACAAACGGAAACTTATTCCTTAAGGTCAATTTTTTATGCCTAGTTGGCTGGTTTTTCCATAATTTAGGCTGGTTTTACTGAGCATTCTGCGTTCCGTTATGGTGCATAATAAGTAAACAGATTAGTTATATGCTGCTTCAATCGTGTGGTTTGGTTTTCTGATTGACTGATGCCTATATTTCTTTCTTCTGCTGTAATATTTTATTTGTCGAGTATATCGAAAACTAAAGAGATCGACTGTTGTCGATTTGGCATGTTTTGAAATGAATCTAAAATCAGGGATCTAGGAAAGACATGGGTGATGTTTGGTATTGCGTTCCTTTCTACTTGAAGTGCTATGACATTAGTGCCACAATGGCGTTTGTGTTTGAGTTTAAACAGTTAAAAAATGTTTTTACTAGAATTATAAAGCAGGGCGAGTTGGGGGAATCATCAAATATACGTCCAACTCTCAGTTTCCCACTTGAATAAAGACAATACTTGTTTCTTGGTTGGTGTGCAATGTGGCGGGGTAGATATATATTCTGATGCATTGCATACTACACCATTAAATTCCCATAACCACCTCCGAAACAGTATTTTATTCTTGTTTCCATGCTTCTAGTACCATTAGATATGCATCTATGAACCAATCAGCTGATAACATTTATTATTAAATATGGCCATTTGATTAGAATCCGTATAGTACTGCATGTCACATTGTATATAAACATTTCATTTAAACGTTTTAGGTAGCAATGCGATACCAAACAGAACACTTCTCTAAGCCCTTGTTCAATGCCTAGTCAGCATAAGTACCAATCAAAATGTTTCATGTTGAAGTACCAATTTTAGGTGTTTTGACATTAAATTCCATTGCCTCTAAACATTTGAGCTTGAAATGGCAATGGCTATGCCACTTGATGTAACAGTTTCTGGTCACGTATCATTTTTTTTGGCTAAGTACCTCGTCTGCTCCCAAGTGGCCGATGACTCAGAGGCTGAAGTAGAGCTCCCTAGTGTAGCGCAACCCGGCTGCTCCCTGCAGGAGATGACTTGCTCATCTATGTAGATGGCGGGAACTGAGGAACCCATCCTCCCTGCAGGAGATGATCTGCTCATCTTTGTAGATGACGGGAACTGAGGAACCCATCCTCCCTGCAGGAAGTGATCTGCTCATCTCTGTAGACGGCAGGAACTGAGGAACCTGCAAGAACTGAAATAGAGATCCCGGGGTGGCTTACCCGGTGGGGACACCCCGATGGCTAAGTTAGCACTTAGTAGTAGAGAGCTTGAAGATGATATCAGAGAAGTTAGAGAGCTAAAGAGTAGGGGTTACCATCTCCTCTCCCCCCTGGGGGCTGAGGCCTTTATATACTGGAGTCCTCATGGGTTTGGTGGAGCAGTTCCTAGATTCATGCTGTGATGGGACCTGTTTTCGTGTTAGGTGGGGATAAAGCCACCAACCGGTAAGGTTGCCCACTTTCGTCTGAATTGGGGAGTGGGTGAACTAATATAGTCGTTACAAGTCACAATTTCGTAAAATGCGGGGTACGGTGGTGAGCTCCTCGGGGTTGTCATGCGGTGGTCGGTCTGACCAGAAGGCGAGCTGCCTGTGGCGAGTTGCCTGGTGGCGAGCTGTGGCAAGTTGCCTAGTGGGGGAGCTGCGTGTGCAGTGCTGAGTTGTCTAAGTTGCTAGGCTACATGATGGTCAGCTGCCTGTAAGTGGCGAGCTGTCTAGTTGTCATGAGGCTGCACTTAGTTGTCATGAGGTGCCAAGTGTCATAGTGTCATTGGAGGGCCAATCCTCCCTCATCACCACTGTTTCGAGAAATGCTGGACGCCCTGACGATTACGATTAATGTACTTGTATTATTTTAAGCACTCTTACTGATTCTGGGTTTTGAATCCCAATCATGAATATCACCAAAACACCAATGCCTTTTTGGCATTTTACTCTTTATTTTTAGTCTCTCTTAGAGTAAATTAGTTGTTTCCAACAAGAATGTCTCCTGTAAGAGAATCTTTGATGTTTCGCTTCCTGCACATAACATTGTAATCCACTTTTGCACTGTTAAATAAAGGAAAGTCGATTCCAATTACTCTGTTACTCTACACCCATTCTGATGTGTCACACACTTTGTAGTTTCAAAACATCTCAGGCTGCATTTTTCGAAACAGGTAAACTTCCCTCTCCGTGAACGTAGTATGTATCCTTTTCAAGGTTCAAATCGGGCGTATTGTATCGTATCTCACCCTTTTTAATAAAACATACCCTTTTTTAACTCCCCAAAAACCAAATTTTGAAAGGAAAAACTAAAAAAATTATTTCCGTGTGTTATCTAAGTAGCGATACGCCTCTACCTCTGCATATCAGTACTTTGAACCATGATCCTTCTATCAATTTTGACAATTCTCAGAAGAAAATAATTAATTTGGGTTACTGTAGCTTTGGTTTTGGCAACTATATCAATGCCAATAATTTGTTCTGTTTTTTAATTGGTTTGCTGTACTCCATATCAGACAAATGGTGGGAGTGGGACTCATGCTTATGGATCTTACAGTCACGAGTGGTTTTGCTTAATCTTTTTTTCTGTTACTAACTAGCTATTTCAGTAATGTTTGTTGGAAAATGATTTAGTAAGGACTTGTATTTTCTGTGTTTTGCTCATTTGCCTTGATCATTTTATAGATTACTTTTTAACTCACACCAGGATTGGGTACATTACACTTGGTGTCGCAATTTTGTCCCAATTCATAGACGAAACGGTGATGGTAATTGAGATCCAAAACATTGTTTTGTTCTTTTAGGAATCAAAATTGTAAATTGGACAATGTCTTCCCAAGGGCTCCCCCTGCTCACAGAAGGGTGACGCTGTCATCCTGTTTACAGAAAAAGCATCTATATTACTTATTAACATTTTGGTGTGCTATGCATAAGCTGTAACCCTGTAACCTGCTGTACGATTGTACTTGAATCGCATTATGGAGCTGGTAGACTTTTCAGACAACATAATAACAAGTCTGCTAGATCTTACTCAGGCAGATGGCTAAAGAGCAATTCGTTTTTTGTTTTGCCGGTTTATATTTGTGATTGTGTGTTTATGTGTTGTGACTTATCAGGCAGCTAACTACTTGAACATAAAAAGCTTGCTGGATCTTACTTGCCAAACGGTGGCGGACATGATCAAGGGTAAAACTCCGGAGGAGATAAGAAAGACATTCAACATCAAGAATGACTTCACCCCCGAGGAGGAAGAGGAAGTGAGGAGGGAGAATCAGTGGGCTTTCGAGTGAGATACCCGAAGCCTTTGCATCCTTTTTTTCTTTTGGGAGGAAGAATTAAGGTTTTCATTGTTTGCCAAAAGACCTACTTTTTTTCCTTCTTTAATTAGACGAAGAACGTAGCTCTACTTATTTTCTATGCTCTCTATTATTCAGTAGGTACGTGTATATAGTATTACTAAATTGGTCGTTGGTGGTGGGCGCGCTACAGTGCTAGGGGCCGATCTCAGCTTCCTTTTTGTTATTTTGTATGCCAACGAACCTCAAATCATCTATTACTGTGGATTGTTGCCCTTCCCGAAGCTCTCTCTCTCTCTCTCTCTTTTTGTGTTTATTGATATCGTGGTACATGATGATTTTCTCATTTCTATCTATTTCGGTATTTCCATTTTAGTTCAGTTATACAAGTGCACCCACCATGACCTAAATCCCGTAATGGAGCTGGAATTTGTTTTACATTCCCCCACCAAAAGAAATGAAATGTTAAATGTTCGTTTTAGACTTGTCCTAGAAGCCGGATCTATTTGCTACTCACACTTACCGTCCTAAAGCCCGGATGTTTCTGACATGTTTCTTGTAATTGATAGGGGCAAGAGGGTATACTCCTTTACCAGTCTTGATTTTTTTTTATTTTTCCCTTCGAGTCCATCAAAATTTTGCACACCTGTAATCGATTGAAACTTTATGACATAATAATATTTATAAACAGAACCGATAGCTCCATGTCGACCGGCTCAACGGTAGTCTTTCATTGTCATTATTTGCAGACTATAACAATATATTGGATAGCCCGATGGTTAGGCTGTCAAATTTATATGTTTCTGTAAACCGGAAGATATGACATCCTGATTTTGATCAATACCGATCGATCCATTTCATGTTATGAACTTATGATTTGCCTAATCCTGTCTTTTTTATGGTAGTCGTAGTCCAACGTGATATTCACGTGTCTCCACTGTTTTTACCCAATATGTTTTCGATTGATTAACATTTAATACATTTTGTTCAGCCTCGCCGCCGACACACCTTTCTTTCCTCTTCAGGTTTTACTCTCTACATATTTGCATTTGTATTCCTTTTACACCAAGTCTTAAACAAAAACAGCACAAACACATTATTACTTATCTATATATTTGCATTTATACTCCTTCCACACTAAGCCTTAAAAGAAAAACAGCGTTAGCACATTAGCACTTAATGGGGAAAGTTATCTTTCATTTAAGATTCGAAGTCTTCTATTGTTGACAGTTATTTCACAGTATGGCTCTACTTGTTTTTTTTGTGGTTCTGCCTACGCTTCTTTTTTTGTTCTCGGTTATATTCTCCATTTTGTTTTGCTTTAGTTTCTGCTAGGGTATCGTTAGAGGCATTATCAACAACTGGAGTTAAATGGTATTGCTGGAACAGCCGAGTAGAACGACCTTCTCTCTCCAGAATGGTGAGTCTATGCCATTACCTCCTCGGCTCCCTAGTTTAGTCGATTTCCATTACAAGGACACCTTTTGTACACCGGACTCAACAGGGATCTTCTCATGCATCACCGTTGACTGGCTCAAGGAAATCCGGATGTGAAGGGGGATATACCGCTCTGGTCACTGTGGGCCTGTGGCTGAGTTCCATTTTTGTTTTATCGTGTGAAAATTCTGTTCATTTTAGTGAGAGAAGACATAGGAGCATAAATTGCAACCTCTAGCCTGTACCCTGGTAGATATTCGGTACCTTTTTACACAGGGCTCAAATCACACGAGCATATTCAATTAAGAGTCAAGTGGGAAATGAAGAATTAGAGAAGAATAAGAAGGGATGAGATGTTGTGGTCCAAACCACCGTTGAATGAATCTACTTACGGCAAGAAGTCGATGTGTCTCATCGGTAGAACGTAGAGGCTCGCAAAAGAGATGAAGAAAAACACACCTCTTTAATGTTGCTTATGGTTGCCGGTGATTTGCCAATGGTGGGTAACTTGAGAGGAGATAATTGGTGCGGCGTCTACCTTTTGAAGATCTGTGTGCAAAGAGGAAGAGGAAGACTTGAAACAACCGGAAGATTTGAATGAGAGAGATAGATTGGTAGAGAGAGAGAGAGAAATTTCAGAAAATCTAACCCTAAAAGACCCTTTTTCTCTAACTCGCCATTCAGGGATAATTTGATTATAAAAAATTTATTAATGATAATGTGGACAAGTTCTGTCAATGAATATTTACAATAATATAAGGGATGTGAGATTTAAAAAATAAAAACTTATTGACATTGATGAGTTTTGGAAAAGTTATGATGAATTTTAGACAATTTTCTTTTTGTTAATTTCAGGTGTTTATATTATAAAATGTATGAAGGTTAGAACTATTTAAGCAATCGTAATTTAACAATGGATATGACACAAAATCGAATGACCCCATATATGCTAAGATAACAATGATGATAATGTATTTTTATGATGTTAGTTCAGGGCTTAACTCGTTCTAGATCTGTAATGCAAAACCTCCGGCTCTAGAGTTTAGCTTTAGGCAGTGCCAACGTTTTCTGTTAACAGTTGTCCACGAATATATGATTGTGGATGCGACTTGGAATTTACATTACTAATGTTTCTGCCTCAGAAAACAGATTTTGATGCGAGTTTGAATATCACCACACCACTACTATAATATTCTACAGCTAAGGAAAGTCCGTCCTTTCAGATCAGCTAATCCTGTAAGTACAACACAGAAAGCAAAGCAGCACGAAGTACAAGTAGAGATGTTCGTTTTCGCTATTGTCGTCATTCCTCGTTCAGTCGCTGCTGACCACCAATGGTGTCTTAACTTTGTACTTTCCATTTGTCCAAGTAATTGATCCGAATGAATCCCCTTTCACTGGGGAAGAAGCAGATGATGAAAATGTGGCTTGGTAGCTTATCTTCTTTATGTTCTTTGTGAACCGCAGCTTTTCAGGTATTACCTGCACATCCACTCCAGGCGGTGGATTTACAGTCGCTACGTATTCGGATTCATCCTCTGTACCCACGTTTGTCACTGTTCGGTTCACTTTCTTGCCCTCTTTCCCTTTGAATCCAGAGATGGCAATTGAAGGGTAATTGAGATTGGAGACCAAGTCTGCGCTAGAATCCTTGGGGCATTCAAATCCCTCCGGGAGGGTGGATGCGATGAGTTTGATTTTTGAGATTGAGTAGCCGTAGTTACATAAAAATTGCAGGTAGTCATTGGTGTCCGTTTCGTAGACTAATCCTGGTTCTAGAGACCCAGATGGGCTTACTTCTCCCGCACCATAATCGTATGGTGTGGCCATCGATCCCGAATCTATTGTGATTGGGTTCTTCTCACTGTTTACTTGAATAGCTGCAGCCCCCCAATAATAGCAATCTCTGGTTAGTAATTACAGTTTACTTTGTTATTGCAAGGACGCGACGCGATAATTGATTCGATATTCTGACCTGTCGTCATGATGGCCGATCTGATGGCAGACGGACTCCAGTCGGGATTCTTGGATTTGATTGTTGCTGCAATGCCGGAAACATGTGGGCATGCCATGGATGTTCCTGAGAGCAAGTTGAATTGTGAGGGTTTCTGGCCTGCAGGTACTCCTGAACTACTGTTGGTCTCAATCCATGATGCCAGGATGTTAACGCCCGGTGCAACGACATCAGGCTGCAAAATTCAAATTCACCAACTCTCAATCTTATTTCCAGTAACAGTGAATCAATAGGAAAGAGGGTGAGACTGTGAAAGAGAAGGTTTTGCTTTGCCTTGAGAATGTTCTCTGTCTGCTGATTAGGGCCTCTTGATGAGAAGTAGGCAACTGCAGGCGCTGGTTTATATTTCGTCACTGAAACCGTTGGTTGGACGGTTGCGACCGGGTTCCTTCACAGAGATCATTGCAGAAAAGACCTTAACCTAATTATTAGTTTCTCTTAATTTCTGCAATAGAAACATAAAATTGGCCATCTTTCTCTTACCCGGTTGAATTGATGTAGGAGAAGATGTCGTCTGCATCTTTGGAAGAGATCACAGTCATGGGAAATTCACCGTAAGTAAAAGCAACAGCTCTTTCCAAGTCATCAATCAAAATCAATCCAATTCCTCCCAAGCTTTTCACTTCCTCCATCTTTTCTCGTTTTGAGTAGTAACGCTGTGAATGCTGGCACAAAACAATCTCCCCTTTGATTTTAGCTCCATCCAGTGCATCTGGGTTACAGTTTCTGAACAGTTCCAACTTCGAAGTGTTAAAACCATCCAAGACTACTGGACTACTTGAAAATAAAAAAAAAAAAAACATGTAACTCAACAGTGGAAACTTGGGTTGGTTTCAATTCACCTTGCGTCCTCATCGGAGCTCGAATTCAATTTCGCGGACTCTGCATATATCAAGGGGTATATCGGAGACTTTTGGAGCTCAGAGAAATTTATGGCTTCACCCTGTATTTGACAAGAAGACGTAAAAAAAGGGTCTAGTCTGGTGATTGTGATTGTTAGAAAGAAGAGAACAAACCAAACAAAGCAAGGAGCTTGAAGCTGTTGAATTGAATTGCGAAGTGGAGAAAACAGAGCATTACCGTGACAACTTTGTTTCCGCCCAAAACAACATCCGACTCAAAGTCCCTGTCAATGGTGGTGGCACCAACGGTCAAAATCCATGGAGCTGCGTTCACAACAGTTGATGAGGAGGGCCCATCATTTCCTGCTGAGCAGACCACCGTTATCCCCTTGTCGACGGCATGGAATGCTCCGATGGCAATGGGATCCTCGTTGAAATCCGGTCTCAAGTACGCCGATGCACCCAGTGACAAAGACATCACGTCAACCCCATCGCCAATTGCATCATCAAATGCAGCCAAGATCGCCGACCCACGACATCCATTGGATGAGCAGACCCTGTAAATGGCGATTCTTGATCCAGGGGACCCACCCTTGGCGGTTCCCACGGCTAGGCCGTAGTATGATGCACCAGGAACAGAGATCCCAGCTGCCGTGGAGGCCGTGTGGGTTCCATGACCAACCGTATCTCTCGGCGTCTGCTCATGTATCTCTCCCTTGCTTTTTGTGGTGTCGTTGTAATATCTTGCACCAATCAACTTTCTGCCATTCAAAGTTGATCAACATCAACAATTTCTTCTCAGTTGTTGGAAGAATGAAAAAAATACCTGTTACAGTTAGAAGCACTGAAATCACGTCCTTCCATGCAAACTCCCTTCCATCTGGATGGGACCGGTCCCATGTTTGTATCCTTGAAGCTCTCCGACTCCGGCCATATACCTGAATCATCGATCAACCAATCAATCAATTCCAATTCGAATTTCGAATTCGAAAGCAGCAAAGAAAAAGCAGTGAACAGCTGAAGAAGAAAAAAAATCATCAATGCGCTTTGTCAATCTTGGTCTCACCGGTGTCCAGGATTCCTATAATGGTGTCCGATCCCTGAGTGAGCGTGTCCGAGTCCGAACTCGGGTTTGAGTCTCTCTTCAGATCGGTTTGATACTGTAAGAAGTCCCATGATCGAGTGGTATGAAGTTGCAAGACAGGGTCTTCAAACACAGAGACGACTCCCGGTTTCTGAACCATTGCACCAGCCTCTTCTTCTGTTAGATGGGCCGCAAATCCAGAGAACCCGTTTCTGTAGCTGTATACGAGTCTTTCTTGCATGGCTTCCGTCCTGGTTTCCACATTCAATCCCAACGTTTAGTCAAAACCAAAGGTCCCAGGACCCAAACAAAGCCCACCCCCCAAAGTGGTGAAACTTTGGGCTGTACGGTCAAGACTAGCCCATTTATTCCAAGGCTGACTGAGTTAGACTTGTGGGCTTACATGAATGGTTCCAGATTGTTAGTTCAAAAGTAAAGTGAAAACTAATTAACATTCGCAAAGAGCCAAAAAAGGGTGGGGTGGTGTGACCTTTCTAACACTGAACTCAGAAGCTGGATGTGGTCCTCCCACAGGGATCCCCGTGGCGAAGAAGTCGCAGCTCCCATGTAAACAATATAAACATTTTTCTTCTCCTCTGTGGCTGCTCTAACTTGAGTTAAAAAAGAGAGAAGAAGAAAGAGAAAGGAGAAAATAAGGTGTCGACAACAACAGAACGACGACCTGCTCATCTTTTGAGGTCCTCTGCTGTTGAAATCTTGATTGACGAAGGTCTCTCCATTCTTTACTTATAAATGCCAGGAGCATATTGTGATGGTGGTGGTGGACTGGTGGGCTACTTGATATGGTTGGTGGGTTCGTGCGTGTACGCACTGCTCTCCTAACCCAAAGGCCCTCCTCCTTGGAGATCCATTCATAGTGCGCAGTCGTTTATCGCCGGGCAGTAGAGAAGTAGTGCTTGGACTTCAAAGTGCAAATCTTCCCTTTCCAATTTCCAAAACCCATCATACCATTGGGCTTATCTAAAGAAAACGATGCTCACTTGTCCAAATTTCTGCATTTAACAACTGAAAAGAGAAAACCCGATGCCATTTGTGGGCTATGGTGGGCCCATTAAGAAATCATTGTCTTTAACATGGGCCATACCCATAGTCGATTTTGCTATTTTGCAGGGAAACAAATTTTGTTCTGAGTTGGGATTGGAATTGGATAAAATGGTTGGGGGATACTCAACTACTCATCCCATTCCCATCCGTGGAGAAACTTTGTTTGTATGATAAGTTGATTTTCCACTGGAGGGTGGTGGGTCTGTCATCTGTGTTAGGGGGGTTAGTGGAGATCAAACTTGTGCACTGAATGGGAAATGATCTACACGTGGCGCATCGAGGTTAGTAACAGTATCCAAGAAGCCTTGAAATGGAGATAAAATGATAGCTTAAAACCAACAAAAGCTGAAGAACAATGATACACGTGCAGAAATCAGAGAGAGAGAGAGAGAGAGAGAGTGGCTTGTGCCAATCAAACTGCAAGGGATAGTGGTCCTAGTGGAATCTGACAAACAAATGAAAATAATATATAATAACACAGCACGCCCCGAATGCCGAATATGATGATTCATATTCATCTGTGGACTGTGGGCCGAATCCCAAACCTAACCTCGTAGTATACTGAGTTTTTTTGTCAGCAGCTTGCCTTACAATACAATACATGCTCCGGAAAAAAAGGAATGAAATTCGTACCCAAGGAACTATTTACAGGATTTACTCAAATCAATGGTTAGGACTTGAATATGCAACCTGCGATCCGCGAAGCCAATCTTAATCCAATTTCACGGAGGATTAATGAATTCCAGCCCCATCCGAATTAATTCAGAAAAACCCAACCCAAGCCCAAAGGGATTATTTGATGTCGTCATGGTGTTTGTTTAAAAGTTGAAGAATTTGATCAAATACCAACTGCTATTGGATTTAAGCTACCCATTGTATGAATTGTAAGAAAATTTATCTGGTGGACTCGTAAAATGGTCCAATTTAATTGGCATCGATTACCAGAAGGCCCCATGCATGGTTAATTGGCCCAACTTTTTTGTTATACATTATTAGCTTTCAGATATTATAATATCTTCTATCTATTAGTTAAAGTATTTGGAGGGTGTACGATAACACTGTGAGGTTGACATTTATATGCTTTTTGTTCTCTAAATTATTGATACGTTTCTTTTTCTCTCCCTTTTCTCCCACATCTCTTTGTCTTGAAAATTATAACAATGCCACATGTAAGACAAATCTCCCTATATAATTGATTCTATAATATTAAAAAATTATAACATTACATATAAGACAAATCTGCTTATATAATTTACTCGATGGAATTCAAAAATTACAGTAGTACCATATACAATTGTTTACGATTATAACATCTTATAAATAAAATGCCATTCATCTTCTTTCTCAACTCTTTCTCTCTCTCAGCTTTTATTTATTATTATTATTATTATTATTATTATTATTATTATTATTATTTAAACATTTATTTATTTAATAAAATTAAATAAATTATTTATTTTACTAAAATAAATTGATAGAATAAAAGAGATGTGACATTAAGAGATAGATTTCAATAAACATTTATTTACTTATTTTAATAAATTATTTATTTAGAAATAATTTACTAACAAATTATTCTCTCCCCTTGAGCCCAATATTTAGTGTTGCCAATGGGTCGGGTTTGATTCGAGATAGCATATACCAGTTCCATCCCAATAGATTTTTATTTATTTAAAAAAAAAAAAAAAACTATGGTTGAACCAATGGGTTGGGTCTATCCTCATGGAGCTAAATTGACTAAACATAATTATAATGGTTTTGGTTCCATGATTTTGTCTTGATTAATTATTGGATTGGTTCTCATTCTTACTTATCCATAATTGATTCAGGTCTGGAATCAAACATTTTATGAAATATATATAATTTTTTATCTTTCTTGTATTTTTTATCATGTTTCATTTTGAAATAGTAAATTTGATAAATAAGAAATAAGATAATATTAATTAAAAATGTTTAACTTATTAACATAAAAATAAATTAGTGTTATTTTGACTATTGTTTTCAATACAATGAGGTCTATGATTTGATCCCAATTAAATAATTGGTTCAAGACTGGTTCTACGTGGTTATTTATTATTCTTAATAATATAGTTATTGTCATTTTACTTTAAAAAATATAACCTAATTTGTTATTGTATCTCCAAATAGGCATAAAAAATTGTCTCTCCAAATGGTGCTTTTAAATTTTATCCCTGCTTCGCAGGGGCGACCCCACAATCCCCACCTATTTTCTACCACGTCAAAGAATCCTGTCAGCCATCTATTGGGTAGGGATCCTCTGGATTTTCAGCCCACTGCTCTCTACCCACACTTTATTTGTCTTGAATTGCCATCTTATATTGTGAGATGTGTGGCTGTAGTGTACTATGGGTAGGGTGTGTATAGAGAAAGTGAGTAGAAAATCTGGATTTAATGAAACCAAATTTCTTATCACACCATTTGCACAGTCCCTTGCAGCTTTGCATGCTTTGCATTGGAAATATCTCCTCGTAAAAAAATCATACAAGTATGGAGATACTCCTAATGCCTGTCTGTAAAAGGATGTACCAACTGCATGAGCACGGTCTTTTGCTGTAAGCACCGAAGCCAATTTCATCACAAATATGGATCAAACTGGACAGGAATTTAGGAGATTCGTGCTCCTAATCACCAGTTATGCTTCCCTCCTTTTTATTATCTTCACGATGATTCCAAATCCTCTGCCTAACCCGAGATTACTCCATAAATAATCTGGGATCCAATATCCAGATTACGGGTTGAAGGAGCCATCTTTGGCCTCTTCTTACTTATTACCATTACTTGAAACCATATATGGGTAAGGGGGTAAGGGCCGGTAGGTAAAACCCTATTTAGGATCAAGGAATAACTGATGCAATAAATGCTGTTAAATTGTTAATAATAAGCTCTATAGGTAGAGTTAACAGACAAGGACAACTTGAGGGTTGAGACATGGATTTCTCAACTAATTACAAAGTAAAAGTCAAAGACAATATTAATCTATATATATATACTAAAGTAGAGCTTGCCATGTAAGTAATCATCTTCTTGCTCCATTGTCCAAACTGAACAATTCTAGAGGGGGCGTAAGATTCCCTCTAGAAGCACTAGGAGTTGCCACCTAACATTGCTTATCTCATTTTTTTCCTCTCATTTTTAGTAAGAAACTAAATATCCCCCACTTTCTCCTAAAATTATCTCTATTTCTCTCTAATTCCTATTAATCTCTTAAATTATATCTAATTCCTATTTATCTTCTCCCCCCACTTTTCATCTATATCTATATAAAGAAAATTTCAATTAAAGTATCTAACAATTACTTAAATGTTAAAATGAAATTATGTTAATATAATTTTACAATATTTATTAAAAACACAAAAAATAATTATAATAGGTTTAATAATATTCATATTATTAATAATTTTATCTTTTTATGGAATTAAAAATAAAATTATGTAATAACAGTACAAATTATAATTTTATGGATTATTCAAATAATTTAATAACTAAATAATATTTTAAAAACATAAATAAACATTATTTAAATAAAAATATTAAAAATAGCTAAATAATTATGTAACACAATATTTAAAATTACATGATAACTTTAAAGAAATAAAATTTAAATAACAAAAAAGATTAAATATTTTACATATTATTTAAATAATGAAATATTTTAAATAGTTAAAATAACGAAATCATGTAATAAATTTTAAAAATTTCTTAAAACTAGAATAATAATTATAATAGATTTCATAAATTTTGAATTAATAATAATTTATATTTTACAAAATTAATATCGAAATTATGTAACAATAAATTATAATTTTATGGATTACTAAATTTTATAAAAAATTAATATTTGAAAATTTAAATAATGGTATTATTTAAATAATTAAATAATATTATAAACAACTAATTTTTAGATACTTTAAATATCAAAATATTAATAGTTAAATCATATCTTATGTATTATTTAAAAAAATAGATTAAATAACAAAATTATGTTATAACTTAAAAAAAAATTATCAAAAGCACAAAAGTAATTATAACTACTGGGGCCCATGCGATGCATGGGATGCAACACCCTTCCCTATCCCTCGCCCCCGTAGTCAAAACACTCTACCCCATCCTTGCCCCGTCCCTAGTGGTAGGGCAAGTTGGAGGCAGTGCACCCATTCCTTGTTGAAGTCGCAAATTTTCCCCACCCGAGGCAACCACATAAAAATAATTTAATTTGTGGATATTTACAAATAAGATTATTGGAGTTTTGGGTATTTTGGGAATTAGATTATGACAATTTTGGGGTATTTTATAAGTGAAATTGTGGAATCTTAGGATTATAAAAATATAAGGAAAAACTTAAAGATATTTTAAAAGTCAATGTTAAATCTACTGATATTTTACTAATTTACCATTGGGTTTGGAGAATTATATGCAAACCACATCCCTTCCCTGTCCCTAATTTGGAGCTTTTCCGCATCCCCACCCTTTCTCTTCCCCATCCCTATTTAAGATTCGAGAAGACTTGCCTCGTTCAAGGTGGGGTAGGGTATTATTTATGGTTTATATAATATTTTTAATAATTATTTATGTTTTATATATTATTTTTAAATAAATTTTAGATGTTTTCAATATAAAAAAAAAATTGAATTCTAAATCATATTTTAAGCATCATTTAAAAAAAATATATTAAATAACAAAAATTCTATATATAGTAACTTAAATAAGAATATAAAATATAAACAAATGAAAAAATAAATATTATTGAAATAGTGGAGGTAGATTAAATAACTT